AGGTCAATGACTTCCAAAGGTGAGTGAAAGACAACCCGCGATTAGTACCAACTCGTTTGAAATTGTATCGACTCGCTGTTGACTAGTATTCCTCATAATCTATGTAATCTTATTTTCGTCTGTCTTTTCATCAGCTTTGTCTGTAGTGGTAGAGCATCATGCAACTTTATGAATGAGCTGGACAACATGAATACGTTTGAGGGCGTCCTACAAGACTTTGTAACTGAGTTTCTAAAGATAAAAAACGAGAACGACAGATATCGGACCAAATACGAGTCCAACACACTTTTGTGTTTTCGTCGAAAGACAAATAAGAAGTCGGATGATTCTGATACCCCAGACAGGATACACGACTTACAGAAAATGTTTAAAGTTTTGCAACAACAAGTGTCTGAATTAGTTGAGTCACTACAGCACAGTCAGTCCCGACTTTTGTCGATGAAAGACGAACAGGAAAGTAAAGTTCAGCAATATGAACTACAAGAGAAACGTCTAAGAGAACAATGTCAGTTAGAGAAGGAAAGAAAAGAGGCACAATTGTGCGACGAAATGGTGGACTTGAAGTTGAACTTGCAAATACGAGACACTCTAAAGAACGAGGTTGAGCAAAATAACTTGGAATTGTTATCAGCAATTGACCTGCTGAAACAAGAATTGGAAAAAACTAAAGATGAGTTGGATAAGTCAAGAGATAGAGAACGTCAAGTCAGTGATGAAAAAGTACAACTTAAACTGACTATCAAAGAGTTATCAGAAGTTGCGACAGAGACATTCCCCAAACATAACTTCAGCGAGGAAGAATACGAGTGGAAACTGTCGAAATTGGAAGACCAGCTCAGTGAGTACAAAAAGTATCAAAGAGAAGTTGTGGCGTTGAGAGACGAAAACAGGAAACTTAAAGAAGTTTATACTAAATTCAAGACTCAAAGAAAGAACACATTGCAGCATTACTCGAGTTTGTTCGGAGAACTTCAGAAAACTGCGCCGAACAATTATATGTTGGAAGAAACACATACTATGTTAACCAAGAGTTTAAAGAAATATGACAGAAAAGCTTTCAAATAAATAATATTGTATAATATTTTGTTTATTTGCTTTTTTACCCACCCTACAACATACTGTGACAGGGCATATTGAATATTGATACCGTATATTCATGTTCTATAGGGAATTGCTTAAATGAGATGGACAGCTAAGACGCTTTCGCACACAAGGTCATACCCCCATCCCCGGCTAACTTTTTTTTTGCATACTTGTCTTTGTGTCATTTCTTCTTTCATTTCATAAAATAAGTGAAGTAAGTGAAGGAAAGCAAAAAAGTGTAAAACAACTGATTTGACTTGAAGTTAAACCTACAGATACAAGTCACTCTAGAGAACAAGGTTGAGAAAAATAACTTAAAATTGTATCAGCAATTGACAAGGTGAAGCAAGAATTGGAGAACATGAAAGATGGCTCGGATAAGTCAAGAAATAAAGAACATAAACTCAGAGATGGAGTCATAGAACTCAAACTGAGTATCAAAGAGTTATGAGTAGTACAAAATGATACATTCCTGAAACATAATTACAACAAAGAGAAATAAATA